GGCCCATATATAGAAGCTCACAAAACCTCTTTTTTTGCAATACTCGAGATATCCAACCTGAGAAACAAAAATAATCATTTCCATTGATCACTCAAATAATTGCTCATTACAGAAGCATAACTATCTTAACTGAAATATTATAGCAAAGCCACATTATTCATCAAAGATTAAGAATATCAACCAGGAAGTAGAATTATATATAATTTTACATGTGGAGTAAATGGTGATTTTTGGAAAATATCTGATATAACTGAACCAATGACAAATAGCATCAGTGTGCTACAGCACTTCCTTAAATATTCACTGAAAAGATAACATATAAACATAGCAGATATTTGGGCAATATTTTCTAAAAATTTTGGATATAAAGGGATTTATACTGGACATGAAGCAAATTTTTAAAGAGATTGAAACACAATACATTGGCCTTTACACTGATATAAATCAGCCGATACATTAAATAAAAATAAGCAATATATGATCATTTGCCTAGTGTTGACAAAATTGTCCCATATCTTGACAGGCATGGTCTAGAGTAGATATATCATCTTCTATAACTGATTTGTTAATTTTTTTAAACTTTGAGATGCAAGCACAATTCTCAATTGGAAAACATCATATTAGTAGCTCCTAAACTTATGCAGTATAGATACAGAGCATGACAATATGAAGAACGGAAATGGAATTAAATGAAAAGCATGAAGAACAATGAGATTCTCACCAAAATTTCGTGACACACAAAAGTACGAAGAGCCTCCCCCGTTGCAGCAACAATCGCAGGCTGGAAATACTTGACAGAATCAAGGTATGAAAGATATACGCAGCGATTATTTGGATAGGGACAATCTGAACCATACTCTTGGACATGCATGCAAAAAAGGCAAACATCTACACCTTCAATTTTTTGGAACAACAATATGACCTGCCAAAAAAAATAAAAAATCAAGAAAGCCAAGTCAGGAATGTAATCCAGCTACTACCAAATTCAAGACATTTTTCAACATCAATGCTTCAAAATTGACAGCATGAACATCATAATGGGCTTGCTAATTTTTATTTTCTAAATTCATATCCTTTGACTTGTATGAGAACTCTGTTGGGTAATCTTTAACAATATCCAAAAAGTGTTGGTTCACTTGCAATTTCTTGCCAACAGAGGAGACAATTCTGATGACAAGATCTTCCACTCCTGGCACCCTGGAACCGATGTGGTTATCACTATATTTAGTATGCTTTACAAGTTGAACCCACCATTCATTGATGAAAAGAAGAGTCAACAATAGTATATTATGCCAAGCATTTAACAGTGCATGCACATGTTACCATTTACATCAACCCGACAATGGAAACACCATCAGTAAGAAACTAAGACTCATTAGAAGCAATGGGGTGATTCCAAAGAGGAAGAGAAATTGAACAACATGGTCTGCAAGGCTCAAACCCAGTCTCTAGCAGCTCATCACTCGAATAGCAATTCTCATGCATACTATTGCTACTATAATTCTAAGCAGGGGAACCTCTTTAACTCCTTTCTATTCTCTGAACTCATTGTTTTCATGTTAATGTATGTATCTCAGATCAGGACACGGAGTTGAGTCAGTGATGTGAAATATGATATGCAAGGTTTCAAAGAGAGTTAAAAAGCATCATGCATGTGTTCATTAAATTGAATGAAGATTATTTAAGATAAGCTAACATTCATTGAACTCATCCATTTATAAAGAAATTTCAGGCATTCTATTTTCTTCATATAGGGATACTATGCGAAAAGAGAAAAAAAGAGGGAAAAAATGTTCATATTGTACAACTAAAATCAAGTACAAAATAACCCTTTCTTTCCTTGAAAACACAGAACCATTCAATGTGAAAAAAAAGAAAATCAAATAGCCCTAGTTTATTCAAAATTTTCCAGTACACACACATGCACGATTGCAAGAAAGACGAAGAAAGAAGAAGAAGAAGAAGAAGAAGAAGAAGAAGAAGAAGAAGAAGAATGACATTCTTCCCTGATCGTCTTGCTCTTTCTCCTCTCTCCCCCCCTCAAACAACCTATGCTCCAAGTGATCACTAAGGAATGTTGTTGGCAAATCTTTTGCACTGCAAAGCGCACTTTGAGGTAAGGGCTTTCGTTCTCCTCCTTCAACCCCCTTTAAGTAACGCTTAGGACATATATATTCCGCTTCCTCCGAATAATTTTTTCGCTTATTGAAAAGAGCACATATCTGATGATTCCAAGATTGGCATCCATCGCATTGAACCCACTGCAAAAAAAGCATCACACAACGATTAGGATAAAACATCCACAAAGATGAGAATTATGTCATATCTAGATTATACGAGATTAGAACCCACCTCTTCATCTAGTGTACCAGCATGCTTTTTCTCATCAAAACTAGACTTGAGAATCTTAGACCTCTCAACTTCAATTCTCTTGCAAGCTCCATGGAAGCATTTACGACAAAAATAATATTGTTTCTCCCTAGTGCTTGTGGTATAATATGTAGCGTCTCTCTTGACATGAAGACCACATTGATTACAATACACATCAGGTGGTGCAAAAGAGAGCTTCACCATACCACACATCTGGCAAGAGCTTTGATTGGCAGAACTCTCCATTGCTTGGCAATGTTCTGCCTTTGAATTAGTCTTGATAGGCAGAAAACATGAAAAAGTTAGTGAATCTGAAACTTATAACTTGCACTAGGACATTTCAAGAAGCAACTACCATCTGGAAGAAAAAGGTAACATGTTTGCACTTGAATATCAGAATGACTACAATGTTATGGAATGAAAAACACCAAATAATTAATGGAGTAAGCTATCCAACTATAAAAACATGATTATAAAGCCCGATATATAAGTTCCTAGAAAAATGCCCATTTATCCCAGGACACCGTCATCTGCCTAAAGAACTGTCAACCTTGTGGCCTGGCATAATAAACATATCATATCTTCCTCAGACCTTAATACCAAAACATGGCCCTCAATTACCTAGGCGTCTATGAAGGAAGAGTTCAAGGCCAACAGATCAAATAATACATTCCCCATTAAGTGTATTTTTATCAGTAAAGAAATATGCATGTCCTTTTAGATGCGATGCAACATCGCATGTAAATTATACACAGATAAGTGTAATTAAGTTACCAATAAAAAGAAAAGTACAATTATATCCTACAATGTAAAATATTAATGTGCTCATTTTGCCGAAATCTACTAAGAATTCTGCAAAAGACATCTCAATCTGACAAAAAAACGAGGGCTAGTTGGCATAATTTAACCAGGAGACTACTCACAGTTCCTTTGATCACTTAATGGACTGGATCCATCTCAGGAATTGCGCAAATGAGATTATTGCCACAATTAGAAACCCATGTGCATTCTCTACATGCATTTTTTCATGACACGGACATAACCACATCGAAGTCAGGCTTATGAAAAGAGAAACTGGTTTGGCACATGACCAAATTCCATAGTGATCATAGCAATCCAAATGGTCCTGTGCAACCAAAACACAGCGCATTCTAGAAACTCAACGACTGCATATTAGAAGTCATAAGGAAGCCACAACCCAGCTGGTCCTTATGACATCTTCGAAGAGAGGAATCAAACTACTTCCTTGAAAGGAAATCTGTAAAGTGGAGAATCATACTTTGACCCCATTCTGGAAACTCAATGGCTGCATATTAGAAGTCAATTATTCTAGAATCCCAAAAGATGCATGTGTCTGATATCGAGCATGTTGATGAATGCAATTTAGACAATAGTATCGCATGGCTTTCATGAGGAATATGTATAATTAAACATGCTATTCAAACTTCAGAGAACTCAGAGGAAGACCTCTGTATGGTGGAAAATTGGTGCCACAAGACGATCCGACAATCATTTTATATACTGTGTTCAAACTGAATAATCCTAAATAGAGTATATTGCTTTGTAAAAGATGAAATACGATATCCTGGAATATTGATAATCAATTATCTTTAGATACTAAACTGAAACGCCCCACAAATATCTAACTACCTTGAGAGTCTTGTCTACTTATGCACCATAAAAACGTGGTAGAATACCTCATTCACAGATAAAAGAAAGTAGACTACTGGTGCAAAATCTTTAGGACAAGGCAATAAACCTATCAAATTTTGCAATTCAAGAGAGAAACATGTAAAGCTTGCTTTTGCAATCAACCTAAACTATGGCAATCTCATTTATTTACTCTTAAGGTTGAGATAGTTCAGAATAGAAGTCCTCAAAGAAACATAATGCATGGATTCCCTTCCATAGCAATGATGTCATGAAGCATGAAAAGTAGATCACTATCCCTTGAGAAAGAATACTAACCAGACCAACGCACTGCCTGAGGGAGTTGTTATGATCAGTAATTTTCTCTGGGGTGACAAATTCAAGCAAAGAAGCACCTTGTATCTTTTGCTTCCCGTGCATGGTTCCTGCTTCACAATCAGCCGATAAGATAGCAGGCTCCTGCTTCATTTCCATCTTGCACATGTTGAGTTCAGTGCGATTTTCACAGGTGATTTGTGATGATAATTCACCTGAGGAAATTAAAGGAATACCTTCTTTCACCTCATAAGTCTGCTCCATACCATTGTCCATTTTGTTCCCTGGAATCTCATGACCAAAGGTTAGGGAACTTCCCATCTTTGTTGCTGTATCCTTAACTATGACAAAACCAGGCGTAGTGTGCTCCATACCATTGTCCATTTTTGGTCCCCGGAATCTCATGACAAAAGTTTGGGGAACTTACCATCTTCATTGTTGTATCCTTAACTACGACAAAACCAGGCTCTTCGATTTCAGCAATTGCTTTTACTGGCACTTGATCACAAGACTGTGATGTTTGCGAAAAAGGTTCTGGTGAAATACATTTTGTCTGTAAGTGCTCAAACTTCATTCTTTTTAATGAAGGCTGCAGATCTTCTGAAAGCACAGTGCTCAGAATCTTGGGACTGCAACAATTAGGCTCTTTCCTATTTTGCATTTTTATCCCTGGATTTCCATGAGCAGATGTCAAGGAACAATAAAACAACCTTGGAGTATCTCCAAGTTCAACAACAGCAGGCCCTTCATTTTGAAAGTTCTCTTCTACTTGCTCAGGATCAGAAACCTCTGGTATTGAGGCAACAGGTTCTGGCAAGAATTGGATTGGTGAAGAATGTTCGGCCCTCGTTCTTTTTGGTGGATATTGCACATCTCCCAAAGGCTCAGAGCTCAGAGCTTCTTTACTGTTCCTTGTCAAATCTACCTTCCAAAAATCCGACGGCTGGTGAAAAGATATCAATATGCAAACGCAACTACAAACAAGACAATCTTGGTCGCTACAATTGCAATAGAGCCCCCACAATTTCCTCAGTCGACGACAGTAAAGAAATGGGCACTGAATTTGTTCACAAATAGAAATGCATCCAAATCCTTTGGGCATATGCACATAGATAAAATGAGCACTGGCCTGCTGGAGCTGAACATGTGCTGCCATGGTGCAAAAAAACCAGCCATTCAACGCATTTCGAAGCTTCACTAGCAGGATTTTCAAGCATTTGGTTTTGAGGAGAGGATGCCTTTGACAGGGGGCATTTCGCTGAACCAGTAGATTGTGCATTCAAATCTTCTCCATGTGAAGGAACAGATTTTCTAAGAACTTCTTCACTGCCATGCTGCTTCATCAATGGAGAATGTGAATGGTAGGAGCCAGTGCATATACTGTCCAAATGCATATCCAATAGTCCCTGCTTTGGTTCTTCTCTCTGGAATCCAGAAGTTGAGTCACTGAGGTGATTTCTTGATTGGAATCTTCTTTTTTTCTGTGACAACATTGTTTTTTGAGGCATAAATCGGTGACCCACTATGTGACATTCATTCGTGGGATCATTCCCCCAATGATTTTGTTGATAGCTAGATGGGCTCTGATAAATCAAATGTTCCTGATGTTGATCTTGTTGACCAATATGTGGCTTTGCTTCTGATAAGCTGAAATACTGAGGAGCATTCAAATCACCATCAGGAATCCCACTGCTGGTTGCTGTCATTGAGTTGGGTTCTTGATTGATCTCTGATACAGTATGAGATCCTCCATAAAAGCCCCTTCCATTGAGAGCCTTCACAACATCGAGATCATCCAGCTGAAGCAGTTGTGTAAAAGTCATGTTTTCCAGGCCATTAAAGACTCCTCCATTGAAGGCCTCCCCATTATCAAGTGACCCTGCAATGAAGGTCCCTTAATTATATCAGACCGAAGCATAGATTTGTGCCGTAATCATACACACCATCAATTCACCAACAAAACAGAGTTTTTAGAAGACAAAAGTGTAAAACAGAAAGGAATGATGGAAAAGAGGAACTTACCACCCAATTGTTCTTGATCTTGTTGACGAATTGGTCGCTTTGCTTCTAATGAACTGACATACTGAGAAGCATTCAAATGCCCACAAGGAATCGCACGGCTGTTTTCTGTCAATGAGTTGCATTCTTTATTCATCTCCGATACAGTAGTAGCCCCTCCATTAAAGACTCCTCTATTGAAGGCCTCCACATTATCAACTGACCCTTCTGTGAAGGGTTTTGTAATTATCTCAGGTGGCAACAAATTCAAGAAAATAAAAAGAACCAACAGAACCATCCAAGAAAAACATCTGAAGCATGCTAATTTCGAGTTACTCTGATACCAAGGGTACCTCAAAAAACTCAGATGAAAGAAAATTGAAGAAAATGAAAAGACTCAAGGGAGACATCAAATAAATGTTTCTAAAAGATACTTCCAGATACTGCAATGAAGGTTTATTTAGATCCATCAGATAAAAGCAAATTTAAAAGAAGATGAAAAGAAACAAGGGAGCTATACAAGAATTCAAATAACTTTTGCCTCAGGGATTCCTTAAAAGACTCATGTTAAAGCAAATTATAGAAATGAAAGAAACCAAGGAAACCATCTAATAATGTTTGCAAGTTACTCTGCAGTGAGGAATTATTTAAAAATATCACGTAAAAGTAAATTCATAGAAACTGGGAATCAAGGGAGGAACCATCCACTGAAATATTTCTAAAAGCACAAGCAACTTAACAATGAGTGTTTTTATAAGTCTTTGATAAAAGTAAATTTGAGAAAAATAAAATAACCAAAGTAACCAGGAACCGTGCTCAGGTTTGAGTTGTTTGTTGTTCATGATTGGAGCACTACATTCTAAGTTCGATTTCTACCACTGAACTCCCAAAAGAGAAAAATTAATAATAATAACCAAGTAACCATACGAGAAGTATTGCATCCACATGCTCATTCAAGCACCTGTGCAACAGAATGATCTCTAAATTCATCAGATAAAAGGAAATTCCAGAGTTAAAAGAACGAAGAGAACCATCCATGAATTATCTCTGATATGTGTTAAATTCAACTAACCATGCAATGGATGGTTCTTTGATAAGCTAGGTGGAACCTAATTCGAGAAAAAGAACTGAGGGAGCAATCCATGAAGTATTACAGAGACATGCAAATTTTAAGTAAACCCATAAATATATCAGCTCAAACAAGTAAATCCATTTATTATCTTCAAAGCATGTTAAATTCAACTAAAACTTGCAACAAATGCTTTTCTTTAAATAAGCTCAAATAAAACCAAATCCAAGACACATTCAAGAGTATTCCTAAAATAATTTGAAATAAAAGCAAATTCAAGAATCAACAGAATAATTCATCTCTAATAAAAATATATAACCATCCATGACACCTTCTAGTTTGAAAAACTCATCTGATTTTACACACTAAGAATTCACCAATTTTCTTTCGGAGAATTCTCTCAATCTCTCTCTCTCTCTCTCTAGGTTTTCAAATACCCCAAAACTTCGTAACTTTCTAGGATATGTTCTCTGTAAATTTCTCTCTCTCTAATTGCCCCAGCTTGATTTCAAATTTTCTCCTGGGAAAAACAGCGGGAGTGTATGTGATCCCTCAGGAGTAGCTGTACAGTTACACCCTCGGATACAAGACCTATGTTCGGTCTAAAAATTTTGGATATATTTTAATTTTTAGTCTTTAGTCACTATTATCTAACCATCAATATATTGATTGCCAGTTAGCGTTTGTGCGTGTATGGAGTGTTGAAATTTTGAGGGAAGAGATGGATGCCTCTTTCAGGATTACTGGCAGTGTCGTGAGACTTGGGAATTGTACAGAGGGATGGAAGGAGGCCGTTCTCTAACGTTCGGCTTTCCTCCTGAAATATTGGAGAAACGTGCCTTTTTAATTTTAGGAGGTGGGTAGTTATTTTTACTCGTTAGATAATGTACTTTCTCTCACTAAGAAGCATCTATATTTTAGTGATAAACATAAATTTTAAGCGAAAGAAAGATGACACGTTTAAAGGCCCCAGGGCCACACACACGTACCAACATGAAGAAAGAAGCACCTGTAAGAATGGATTTTGGTTCTTTGTGTTAGTCGGAATTAGGGAGTGTTTAAAGGATATTTTGAAATAATCAATAAGTGGTTAAAGGATCAGACTTTTCCTAACTATTTGAAATTGGCTAATAAATTCAAAAATATTTTGACGAGATAGAAACGAAGGTTGAATAGGGTTTGTTTCTTTAGGGGGAGAAGCTAAAAGCCATTGCCTCCCACACGCCTTTGCTTGCGTGTGTAAATGTAGGTCTCAGATAAGGAAAATTGTTCCATATGGGTTGTTCCGTAGAATTTTTCATCCAAGTTTTCTTACGCATTTACTATAAGGCAAGTTCATCCAATTTTGCTTACGCGTTTACTATAAGGCAAGGAAACTAGTACATAGAAGAAAAAGATAAAAATTACCATTTGGTGCGAGGATTTAGATAATGAAAGCACTAACTTAACCCACATAAACCTAAATTAAATTACGCCAAATTAAAACACCGAATTAGGGGTGACAAAGAGTTGGGTCCAGCTGGACCCGGACTCGTCAAGTCCCAGGTCTACCCATCGGGTTTTGGGTCTGGTAAGATCCATTGCCAACCTATGACGATGAGCTCTTTTTTTTTGACCTTTTTTTTTACATCATATACCCTATGATTATGAGTATTTTTTTGCCAACTTATACCCTATGACTACGGATATGGATCGGGAGAGGCTGGAACCCCAATAAAATTCGGGTCCAAAATTTGGACTCGGATATGTGGTCGGGTATACCCGTTGGATCCCAGGTCTAGTCGGGTCCATTGTCACCCCTACACCAAATGAATTCGATGCATCAAGACAAGAAGAGTCATTCGATAAAATTTGTAGTTATAATGCACGGAACATGAAAAATATAAAATAATTCTAACACAAGCTACTCTAAATAATCATTAGTAGAAACCAATTAGAGGCAAATAACTTTTTTTTTTGACAAAGATTCAAATATTTTATTGCTGAGTAGGGAGATATATTACATCATTTAAAACAACAAGAGAAGATAAAAGAACCCCACCTTTCGCCCAGGGCATTAGCATCCCTAAAAACATGGACAAATAAAACAAAGATTGTTTCAACAACATCCATGACTTGCAGCCAAAGGCCATGAACTTCCCAGGGTAAGCGTTGTTCCTTTTTACACCATTTAATAACATTTAAGGTGTCCCGTTCACAGATACAAGAGCAACCCAGAAATTTATCAACTAATACTTTAACCCCACACAGCAAGGCACTAAGCTCAGTATAGTTGGCTATTCTAACTCCAATCGGGCCAAAGAATGAAAAAATAATATTGGCAGCGAAGGAAAAAATAATATTGGCAACAGAGTCATGCACCACCCCACCAATACCCGCAACACCTGGATTCCCCAATAAATTCCATCGAAATTTCACTTTAGGCAATCATCAGGAGCCGCCATCCAAAGGCTTCTTAACCTTGTACATGGTCTCCCCAGCAGGAAAAGGCTACTAAGATTAGCCATTACATCTACTGTGCAGATATTCTTTCCTTCCTTGTGTATAGAAATTGAATTCCAAATAGAGAGTTTGATATTGTTTAATAAAATAAAAAAAGGCAAAGGATTCCCCTCAAAAGTCCGCCTATTTCTCTCTTTCCAAACTTCCCAAAGGATGATTCATTTCGCGATCTGCCAAATAATTTTCCCCATCTTAGGCAGATGAGGAATGGAAAGTTGAGAAGCAACGCTAGCCGTAGGCGAAGGGAGTACCATTGACTAAGTTAAAGAGCCAAAACCAAATTCTCACTGTGAATGAGCAATGAATAAAGATATGAGCATCGGTTTTCTCATCCGCTTTACAGATGAGACAAACATTAGGTAAAATTTTCCCAATTTTGATAAGATTGTCAGTAGTGAGAACCTTATTGAAAGCTGCCAACCAAGAGCTGAACTTTATGAGGAACTGGCCACTTCCAGACTTTAGCAAGCGAGGGGCAGGAGGCTCTCCATCTGTCATGAAAGAGAAGTTTGTAGCAGGACTTTACTGTGAAAATATCATCATGTTCAATCTCCGAAATCACCTCATCCTTAGCATTATAAGATACATAAACCCCATTAAATAATTCCATAAGGGCACACCACTGCGAAAGAATCAACTCACTAACCCGGTTGTATGCAAATGTAATATTCCAAGAAGTTAATTCTTCCCTAAGGTCAATAACATCCGAAATAGTCACATATGGTTGAGTAGCAATCCTAAATAAATCAGGATAGCCACTTTTAAGGGGTACTCGCCCAGCCATTTGTCATGCCAAAAGGAGACAATCCTTCCACCAGACACAATTGGTCTACAATTATACACAACCTTCCACATATGCGAGGCTTGAGAACCTCTACCACCCCCAATCCACATATTTTCTCTATCAACCCCATATTTTGAAGCAAGCACTCTATACCACAGCTGATCTTTAAAAGTAAGGCTACGCCGCCTCCACTTACATAGCAGTGCTTTATTCACCAATTTTATTTTTCTTATGCCCAAACCATCTTCCGTCTTTGGAGAACAAATTATATCCCACTTTAATAAATGAAACTTCATATTCGCATCGGTTGATCCCCACAAGAAATCCTGCATCATTTTTTCCAATCTTTTAGCAACAGAAGCATGCATGTGGATTGGAGACATTTGGTACACCTGCGGGTTAGCAAGGCAAGATCTCAATAAGGTAACCCTACTGCCTAAAGGCAAATACTTGCGTTTCCAGAGTGCCAATCTACCTTGTACTCTTTCAAGCACAATATCCCACACAGCAATGGTAAGTCTCAAGTCAGAAATAGGGAGCCCCAAATATAAAATAGGGAAGGTGCCAACCTTATATCCAAACAAAGTAGCTAAATCACCACCCACCCCTTCTAAACAGTTAATCGCAACCAGTGATGATTTTTTAAAGTTAACTTTAAGACCCAAAGTCACTTCACAAATCTCCAAAATTTGAGCAATATTAGAAACCTGAGCGTCCTCCGCATAAAAAAATATCAAAGTATCATCCGCTTACTGAAAGTGGGAAATAACTATTTCAAAATTAGGAATCAAAAACCCCAAAAAATACCTCAAATTTTCCATCCTGTTTAGTATAAGACTAAAGCACTCAGCATAAATTGTAAACAAAAAAGAGGACAAAGGATCACCTTGTCTCAATCATCTAGAAGCACTAAAAAAACCTATCAGGCTTCCTTTAAATAACACTGAGAAGTACGCCGAGGACAAACAACCCTTGATCCGTAATCGCCACTTATCACCAAAGCCCATCACTCTTATGATTTCAAATAAAATACCCCATTCGACCCTATCGTATGCTTTCTCCATATCTAGTTTTAACAGAATACCCGGCTTCTTGCTAAGAACTCTAGAGTAAATATATTCCTGCGCTACCAACACACTATCTGTGATTTATTGATCTCGAATAAAGGCAAACAGAGTACATGAAATAAGAGAAGGGAGAAGACCTTTTAGTCTTTCAGCCAAGACTTTTGCAATAATTTTATAAAGACTAGTTAAAAGACTGATCGGTCTAATGTTAGAGAGGCCTAGAATTGTTGCCTTTTTTGGGATCAAGGACAAAAAAGTGGAGTTTATCTTTTTAAAAATTTTCCTAGTTGCCATAAAATTTTTTATGAAAACCAATAAGTCTTTCTTAATACTTTCCAAAAACAGTGGAAAAAACACAAAGGGGAAAACCATCAGGGCCAGGGGCCTTGTCTGCAAAAACAACCTTATGCAACTCCTCTATGGTCCCTTTCCAACTGTAATTTTCCATCCACAGAAAGAACTTTGAAGGGAACTCTATTCAACGAAGGTGTCACCTTAACCTCTGAATAAAAGGCCTTTCTGAAATGACCAATCACTGCCTCTTCCAATGCATTATCATTTTCAGAATCCACCACCGGAATGGAGAGGCCAGAAAAGTCATTCTGTCTTCTACGAGCACTAGCAATAGCATGGAAATACTTTGCATTCAAATCACCCTCTTTAAGCCATTTGGATCTAGATCTTTACCTCCAGTAGATCTCTTCCACCCTATGAAGCTCCCCTAACTCATTACATTTCAAAGTACGATCACTGATAACTTGTTGGGAAATACAACCACTCTCCTGAATAGAGCAATCAATCGCTTGTAAATCTCCCAAAACCTTATCAATTTTGGCCTTAACATTAAACTGATTCTCACACTTCTATAAAATCAACTTATGTTTGATATTAACCAATTTTTTGTGCAATTGAAAATCCAAGGAGCCTAGCATAATCGTGTTGGCCTACGTGGTTCTAATAAT